TTAAAGTGGCCAAGTTTGGACAACACTGGTCTAGGGGAAGCATCTCTTAGCATCTTAAAACATGACAGAATGGCATAGTTTTTTTTTAGATTATCCCGCCTTTATTATTTTTATAAATAACTCGAGAAGGCGAATGTACCAAATACTCCTTCCTCCTCCTATTTTCCCCACGACAACAACCCTGTGAGGTGGGTTGGGCTGAGAGAGAGAGGGACTGGCCCAAAGTCACCCAGCTGCTTTTCATGCCTAAGGCAGGATTAGAACTCACAGTCTCCTGGTTTCTAGCCTGAAGCCTTAACCACTAGGCCTGGCTTTTTGTGGACTGAATTCATTTCCTCACAAGAACACATTGGCTTTGGTGAAGGAAAGTTAATAAATAGTAACATTAGAGGGAAACAAAACTCTGGTGATACAGGCAGTAATAGTTACCTTATTAAAGTGACCATTTGCATAATCTCTGGGTGCTAAACAGAAAGCTTTGCATAGGTAGTAACGATCCTTACGAAACGTTTAGAAAGCAAACTGTTCTATTTGCGGAGAATGACCAATTTCCTCTAAAATAAAATAACTGGTTAAATTAACTACAGAATTATTGGTTCTTTTCCACCCAACCATTTGTCTCTTTATTTTGTTCACGTTCACCACACCGGAGAAATGAATTTAAAAAAGAACAAAGAACAAACAGGAGGATATTGAAAGGGAAAAACCCTGCTTTATTTAAAACAGCAGCAGCAGCAACAATTTGCAAAAGTCATAACTTCTTGCGGAGCTTATTTATATACTTCTAAGAAACTCCAAACTACAGGATAACCTCAGCTGAAAAGGCAAGACTGCAGAAATAACTTTTTTTTTTTTTTGGTTCTTTGAAGAGAGAAAGGCATCACATTCTGTCAGTGCCTTAAGGGGACATGTAACATATTGGCTGAACCACCTGATGAAAACCTTCAATTCAACAACACTTCAGCCACATAGAAGTTGATGGAGATAGACCATGGTCAGATGGTTCTTTCAGTCGTCTGAAGAGGAGATCTGAAAATAATTTTTAAAAATAGCAATAGCCAAACATTAGAGCCAGTCTATTTATGGCAGCGAAATCATGATACAGCAATGCTTTGGAGGTTTCGGTCTGTTTTAAATAAATAATGAAAATACATAAGAGGGGAAAGGGTGGGGAGGGCAGAATCCTGCATAGATTTCCAGCCTGAGGAAAACTCATAATCTAGGTTTGAGGGGACCACCATTTCCTGTTGCTTGTCCACGATCTGGTAGGTGGGCTATCCAAGATATACTATCTCTGAACATGGAGGTTCTATATAACCCCTCGACTCTGAGCCTCTAATAGTCTCCCCCATTTTAAACCTTGTTCAAGGGGGCAGACTGTTGGCAAGGGTTTTGCTCTGACTCCTCCCCTAGACAGCCTGATCACAAGCACATCAACAGGTTGCAACACAACTTCTGGGGTCATGCCCAGGATTAAACAACTGCATCCAGTCCGTTGTATTGCAGAAATGCCTAAATCCAGACAACTGACTCATTTTGTGAACTTAGTCATCCAAGAAAAGGAGCAGGAGAGGAAAAGTGACCAATGCCTGTCTATTAAGGAATCGCTGCCAAGGCAGGGCAGGACAAGAACACACCTCCCAAGCGCTGATTGGCTGCAACAGCCAAGCCTCGCCTACTCCTGCCTGCCAGGCCAATGGAGGGAGACAGAGATGAAGGATACCATGAAGACTTGCCAAGAATCTGGCACGAGGGTTTACGGAACAGCACCCCCTTCCTGGAAAAGTGGGCGAGGATTCCATATTCCCTAAATTAGGGCTACCGCATTTGTCTTCAAAACCCTGGCCAACTAAGAGAGGGCAACAAGGAGGTAGAATTTTTTCTGCCTCTTTGTCACCATCTAGTGGCCATTCAGATTCTTGCAGCCTAGACCTTTTTGACCCAGTTCCTGTGACTGTGTCCTTCCAATGGGCCATCAGAGAGATCTGACTCAGTGAGTGGCTGAAAGGGTTTAGATATTGTGGAAATAGGGGCATTGCCCCTGTACTGCATCCTCCGTCATGCCATCAAGGCCAGAAAGTAAAAGCTTGACTAATTCTTTTTAAGAGCATGTTTTTAGCCTGAGTACATCATGGTGTTCAAAAGAAGAAAAGTAGACCTTAAAATATTGTGGTCCTACATTGTTAAAGGTAGCAGTGAGCAACCTGACCTCAGGATCACACACAGAATCTTGGGTGTGCCCCCTGAAAGCCTTTCCCAACAGTTGTTGGAGATTATCTAAGATGCAGGAAGTCATCACAGTGAACTCATTTAATTTATTCCAATCAAATTTAATTTTTCATAGTTCTACCAGCATCTTCTCTGGCCTTTCTCACTTTTTGGGAATATGCTAATCTTTGTAAAAATCAAATTTAGCTTTTGGGTCAAGAAACTCCTGGTTTAAGTCCTAAATGGGACAAAGTTGGCCCTTCAGATGTTGGCCTATGGTTCCCATCATCCTTAGCCATGGTTCATGATGGTATGATGGGAACTAGGGTCCTTCCTTATCAGGAAGAAGACTCTGAAGATTGAGGGGACTATTCTGGAGATAAAACAAGATTTCTATGTTTGTCTCTCCCTGGGTCCACCTTGGTCAATATATCTTCTCAAAGGTGTGGGAGAAATGAAATCCCCAAATCTCTGAGAGATTAATCTACCAGTCCCCCAAATCTGCCTTACCTGTATTTTAAAGAAAGACAATGGGAGATTAAGAAGATGAGACCATTCATGGTGAAGAAAGATCCCCCGACAGCCAACATTCGAACCCATCTGACACCTAAATATGAAGATAGAAAAGAAGTGCTGATTGTTTTCTTGCCACAAACTTGCCACATCTGTTTCTTCTTTTGATAAACAGGCAAGTATTCTTATTCAGAATCAGATAACACTGATCACTTTTGGCTTTTCCACCAAACAGTGCTTATTCATCATTTGAAAGGCAGCTTTGGCAAGCACTGTGGTTGATCTCACTGCAATCTGTGAAATAGAACAGTTTCTCCTATACCTTCTAGACCCCTAGGGCAACTTCTCAGCAGCATGTTGGAGGAAAAGAGAATATGGGATACTTAGAAGCAAGATTACCTAGCCCATCGATGAAGATAGGTTTGCTGCTCCTGGAAAGTACATTTCTTCCAGAGAGAAGCTGACTGTAGGCACATCTGAAGTTTCCCACATCCTTGTCTTCCTTGATGGTTAGGTTGTAGCTGTAGATGCTCTTGTGTGTATATACGACCAAGATGCCCATTTTTTCTCCAGTTAAGTGAAACTGCGTAATTTTATTAGTTTCAGGTGGAGCTGAGCATTTCAGGCTGATGGAGTCTCCCAGGTGGAAAGATGTGGAATTCACAGACAGAGATGGAGCTGATGGGGCCTCTGAAAGAGAAAGATAAATGTCCAATGTTGGAACGTCTTCCTTTCATTTGCTCTTCAGCTTCTTATCAATGCTCAAATAATGATTCTATGTGTTTGTGTGTGTGAGGAAGGAGTGAGATACCCATTTTTAGTCTCCATTTCAGACATAATAATACTAATTAAATCATCTTATGTGACCTGGGTGTATTATTCCTTCAGAATCCCTCTCAGAATTCACTGTCATGGTGGTTCCAACTGCAGAAGTTGAGTTAATCCCTTGTGATGAAATGAACAAGGAATCATTCTTGTCATACTTTAAACATTCCTTTGAAGCTAGACATTTTTTAATCACACAGGAAGGGCTAATGACACCAGAGCAAGCATGGTGTTGTTTGTTACCAAACTCAGCAGTGCTTTTATAAATGACCGCTATTGGCAATTATCACCATCTGCACTTCTTCCATTTATCTTCTCTTTGACCTTAAATTTGCTACTCTACCTGCCTCCTCAAACATGAGTTGACATGCATATGTACATACCCAAACAGACATGCAAATGTATGAAAACATGTTCAAATAAAATAGACTTGGTTCTATTTGAATAATTTTGGAACTAATTAATATAATCTTGGAACTAAAGCCATGAAAACTCTGCTCAGTAGTTGCAATCATATGACAGAGCTATTCCTGCATATTTTAATCTTAGTTTGCTTGATAAACTCAATTTGGGCGGTTATACATCACACTGAACCATAAATGAACTCAATAGCGTGGTGTTGCTTAGCATACTGGCCAAAAATGGGGTTGGGCATTTTCTGTTTCAGTGACTTGTCTGAATGAAGGTATATCTAGGCCCATGCTATTGTAGACGAGGGTTCTATAGGAGACCTAGACCAGGGTTCTCGGCTCTCAAAGGAACCTGGAAGACTGTTGATCTGAAAGATTGGGAGCTTGGCTGTCAGGAAGATCTTGTTCAGTATGCTGTAACATCTGTCCAAGTAAGACTGCTAAGACAGGCAGTCCTTTGAAGTAGCTGTTAGAGAATTTCCATTTTCTCTTTCTTTCTTTCTTTCTTTCTTTCTTTCTTTCTTTCTTTCTTTCTTTCTTTCTTTCTTTCTTCCTTCCTTCCTTCCTTCCTTCCTTCCTTCCTTCCTTCCTTCCTT